AGAGAGAGAGAGAGAGAGAGAGAGAGAGAGAGAGAGAGAGAGAAACAGACAGAGACAGAGACAGAAAGATGTAAAGGAGGCAATGAAGTTTCTGCAAGGTGTAAAGCATTCAGATGAAGCAGACAGGCTACTGTAGCTCTAGTGACAAATATTACTCTGGGGCACAGGGACAGAAGGATGAAGGAGGCAGCAATCGAAAAGTCTGTGACACTAAGAGAAATAAGATTTCCACTTTTATGAAAACCATTCTTCCTGATTTACTGGGAAACACAGATGGTGCAAGGGGCAGCAATAAGGGATAAGCAAGGAATGCATTATGAGACTATTTTAACTTGAAACAACTTGGAAATCCAGTGGATGAAGTTAGATTCCAAAACAAGGATTTCTCATGAGGTGAAAACAATATAATTGCAGAGGGCGAAGAAGGTTAAGGTGAGCGAAATCAAGGTTTAGTGAGTATTACATGGTAACTAGGTTTTTGCTTTCTTTTAAAAATGAGCTATCTGTATTGATTTCCTTAAGATGTTACATTGAACAATAATTTTTCATATATACTCATAAAAACATTTTTAATTTTAAATTATATATATATTTTTAAATGAATGCTATTATTCTCATCTCACACTGGTCTTTCTTATGGTCTCTGGCTTCTTTAATGGAGACACCACTGTCTCCTGATGGAAAGTATCTCCTTTTTTTTTTTTAAAGTTGAGGCTGCTGCTAGAACATCTGCACAGCTAAGTATAAGAAATGACCTCATATGTTATGTGTGCCAGAAGAAATAAGAAAAAAAAAAGCTGTGTGTACTTTGGGGGGTCACTGGGGATGTAATCAAAGGCCCTCATATGAGCTACATCTCCAGCCTTCTCCTAACTTTTACTTCGTCAGGGACTTGCTAAGTTGTCCAGACTGCACTTAAACTTGTGATCCTCCTACCTCAGGCTTGAACACTGCTGGGAGTACAGGCGTGCACCACCAAACCTGGTTAATGTCTATTTATCTTTGTAGGTGAAGAAAGCCCACATGAATTCTAAACAATACTGTTACTGAGCAAATATAAATTGCTTCTTATCGCAAGAGTTAGAGTTGTTTGAAAAACAATTCCAGTCTGAGATGGTTATGAGACGTAAAGGCAGCAGGTATGAGACCATGAGTTGTTTGTTTATAGTTTTACAAATCTTCCAGCTTTATCATATCTTCTTAGTGGACTGCCTAAAAATGACCCAAACATATTTCTGCCAAACCAGTGGCTTGTGACTTATGTGAGACAGTCCTAGAGGAAATGTGGTAAACCATGGACATGCTACCTTTTTACATATATAAACCCGGCAATTAAACATTCTACCTAAAAGAAGGATGAGGCAAAAAGGAAGGAAAGCATCACAAAGGAGCAGGGGTTTCACTGCCTGCAAAATATAAATAAAGCAAGAAATATAACTAAACAGCAGCTCTGGAATATGTGATGGGCAACATTCTGGGGAGAGAAGGGAAAAGAGGATCTCTCACCCCAGCCTAAGACTCAGAAGCAGATGCCAAAAATTGAAGCACTTGGCGAGCTCAGTCTGGTGCTGTTCCTTAACATCTGCCACCACCGAGGGAGGTGACAGGGGCCAGGGCACCTATGTCACTGGTTATTCTAGGAATCTCTGGAGAGCATGACGTTGATTCCATGAACATGTGGCAAAGCATGCCCCTGCTTTAAAGGTGCCAAAAGGAGGCCAGCCATTCAGTAACCATGCATCCTGGGCCCACCTTGGAGGGTCCCTCACTGTGACAGAGAATGACCCAAGGCTAAGCTCTGAAATGCCCTTAGCCATATGGGCAAGACATACAGAAAATACTCAAAAGACACCCCAAGTCCCCTGCTTTGTCCATCCATGTCTCCAACCCAAACAAACAACTCAACCACCCATTGTAATAAGGTCTGCTGTAAAATGAATGGGCACTCTAATTTACCTAGCCATTACTGCCTTACCTCAAATCAGTTCATCAAAACGCCTAACACAGGGAAGAGTCCCAGCGGGAAACCAGGTACCTAGAAACATCTGATCAGGTCAGGTCTGCACAGTAGGATGCTACCCAGAAAGGCAAAACTGATTCCAAGCAGCAGAGCACACAAGACCCCAAAATGGAAATACCAAGAGGGGCCACTCGCTAATGACTTCTCTCACCATAGGTGAATTTTACCTGAACTTGGGCTAGGCCCCTGGTCCCCAAGAAACCAACACTTTCCAAGGGACCTGAGTAGAGAGCAGGCTAACTACATGCCTCCCTAAACTAAACCATAACGGGATACATTCAGTGCACACATCACGTGACCCTAGAATCACTGCTGTAATGGTGTTCTGCTAATCTGAGTATACACAGACCAAGTGGTCAGTGAAGAGTCATCCATCTCATGTAACAGTAATGGTTTCTGATGGAAGGGTCAATGGACTGTACAATAAACATAAGGAAAAGATTCCTGTCAGCATGAGAGAGACCAAGATACTGCGGAGCTTCCTGGACTTTTCTCCCCTTCCCCACACAGTGAGGTTCCCCAGACCAAGCACATGCTCTGCAATCTGCGCCGCAAGGTCTTGTGTCATCCCGGGTGGGCAGGGAGCAGACTCACTCATTGAGTAAAGGCATGGACGTCCTCCTCTTGCTCTTCTGTACCATGTTAGCCTGGTTTCTCAAGGAGATCCGAATCATAGCTGGGGCCAGCCTACACGGCTCTCCATCCACTTGCATGGGGATGGACTTGTAAGTCAGAAGCATGACCTCCCGACACTGGTGTAGCCTCTCCCCATGGCCCCCGACTTGCAGGGCAGCCTGTCAAAACAAGATGAATTAGTTATTGCTACTTAAGAATGCTACATAGCCAAAGACTCTTTGGTAAATACAAATTCATTGGCCATCAGTATAAAAAGAAACCTGGGTAAACTATTACTATAAATAAGCTAAACATTTAACACTTCTGATGAGCTTTCCCATGAATTCCGACAGACTTTTTTTGTTTTATGCATTTTAAATGTAAATGTAATTGTGCTAATTTAACATGAAAATTTTCCTTTGTGTTATCTACTCCCAGTAAATAATCAGAGTATCACAAAAGACGACAAAGAGCATAATGCACATGGTTCACCAATGACTAAATGCTATTTATCTAAATCTTTAGTAAGCAGCTCATCCTTGATGAATTTTCAAGCTTAAGCACCCTTACCCTTTTCACCTAAAATTTCCTCAAGCTATCTCCAACCTGTACAAAATAAATGAAATAAAAACTAATATTGATTACTCAATTAAAACCACTCTGGAAAGTAAAATAGCTTAAAGGATTAAAATAAAAAAGTGTAAAACTTCAGTTCATGGTGGGAGTCACAGAATGGAGATTCAAATCAATATTAAAAGTCTTGTTTCTAAGAACAACGAATTTATATCTTCTCTGACTTTGCAAAATAGTTCACTAAATATCATTTATCTTTTTAGGGATAAATGCATCTTTTATGGATGCATCATTTTTGATGCATAATGTACATAGAGGACATACATTTGATGACAGCTTAATGAATATTTTTATATCTGTGTGTGAACGTTTGCACTGATCAAGCTTTAAAAATTTTATAACAACCAAGAGGTTTCACCGCTACTTTGCGATTTACTAGTCTTTCCACCAACTAAAGGTTAACCTCTACTGACTTCTCTCACCATAGGTGAATTTTACCTGAACTTGCACTTTACATAAAAGAAATCATACATACATAAGTATTCTTGCATCTGACATCTTTTGCTAATCATTACCTTTTACTGATATAAAGCACCTTATATTTCTGCATTCTTAATCAGTGGGTGAATATTTGATTATTTCTGGTTTGGGGCTATTCATCATGTACACTTTCTTATATACATATTGTGGTGGATACATGTATTCTTAGGAACAGACAAATGAGTAGCACTTCTATTGCATTAGTTTATGGGGATATTTAACTCCAGAAAATACTGAAATAACTGGAATATCATCGCTTAATCAATTCATAATGAAGTAAATTTTTAAATGGAGCTAAATAGTGGCTAACACAAAATCTAAACCATTAACTCTTATAAAAGGAAAACACACTGTCATCTTGTTGCCATGTTTATTCTCTGTGAGTAGCAAGGAAAAATAAACCTTGTTAATTCAGATTTGTAAAGTCAATTTCCGCTATTTTGGCAGCCAGATCTTTGGCTTTACTGATGTTTTGAACTATTTTTACATTCACTTGCAAGACGGAAAATTGACTATAAATGTAAAGTCAAAGGGAAAAAAGGAACAAAAAAAGACAAATAAAATAAAATAATTGAAACACAAAGACTGTATTATTGAGTGCTTTTGATACTGGACTCTGTTGTATGCTTTGCACACTTTCTTTTTCAATTGGTAGGAAACCAAGAAAGGAAAGAGAATGCAATAAGCAGTTTCTAAAATTCTTTTTGACCTGGCACCTTATTCCCTCCTATTCCGTGAACTACACTAAATTACTCACTTCCATTACTCTATGGATTTGAATCACTACCATCTCTAGAACTTTTCAAACATAACTCTTGCTTTCAAATACTTTCAAGCTCAATATTACAAGGGAACGAAATGTATGTTTCACCCATTGGCAGAAAGACCATTCTATTCATTTCTCCCCATTTTGAGTAGGCCTAATGACAGATAAAAATGTAAAACCTGCCAGAACTTCTTTCTTTGAGTTTAACAGGATTGGGCACTGCTTAAATGCTTTTAAACTCCATAGTAGCAGGAGATATACACACTCAGTAGAGTATGTATAACGCATCTTGTCACTCTCAAAAGTAAAACAATAGCATACACAGGCTGAATATCTCTTATCCAAAATGTTTAGGCCTAGAAATGTTTCGTATATCAAAAACATTTAGACATTAGAATATTTACACATATGAAATGAGATATTTTGGGATTGTGACTTAAACCTATAATGGAACTCATCTATAGAGTACACACCTTGTAAACCTATCCTGCGGGTCATCTTAGATGACATTTTTAATGCACCTGTGTTTTGACTATGACATTACATGAGGTCAAGTCTAAAAGTTTGGTCTTCAAACTGTTTTGCATTTAGAAATATTTCAAACTTCAGACTTTCAAACTGGGGGTGTTCTCATGTTCTACAAACAGATGGAGCTAAATAACTGTCAGTGGCAGACCCCTGGCGTGGGAGAATCAACCCAAGCTCATTGCACAGGCACAAGAGAAACTACTGTAATTAGCCTGTAAGAGTAAAGACGTGTAGAATAGTCAGAGCAGCAACAAAAAATCACTTTGGGGGCAAGTTTACAATACTGGCAATTTTAAAAATAGCTATTAGCAATATTTATTTTCTATCCCTTAATTGATGTAGTCTTAACATCCTCTAAGGTACAGGCCCTAAGAGCCACATCGCCCTCACAATTTTCTAGAATGAACTGTTTACCAGTAATAATACTTTGATTTATTAAGAACAGATATTCAATGATCTATTTAACTTAACATATATTATTCTTGTGGACACTTTAGATACTGCCTTTCAAATAATATAACTTCACAGGAAGACTTTGACGGTCCCTTAAATAAGTGCACCTGTTGTCACTTCTGGTACTGCTTTTGTAATAACTTTGTTATGACTTGAGTATCAGGGTTTTTTGATTGTTTGTTCTGAATGGGGATTGAACTCAGGACCTCACACTTGCCAGGCAGGCACTGTGCTGCTGAGCTATATCCCCAGCCCTTTGAGTATCTGTTTTTACATTATGTACTCCTTGGAATATTTTTCTCCATCACTTCGGAACTTATCCTTTTTGTTCCACTTGCTGTCAGATGGCAAGGATATTGTAGAAACAAAAGCAAAGCTTCAAATCCTTCCCTTCTTCCTTCCTCCCCTGCCTGACAGTCCCTCATGTTCAGCCTTCTTCCTAGACCAGAATCCCCAAGGCAGAAGCCTGTGATACGCAGAGTGGAGACAGGAGCTCAACAATACTAAGAACTGCTCGCTGTTTGAAGGCTAACAGAATAAGGTTCCTAGGAGACTAAACAACAACAAAACTATTTTATTTGATTATAAATAAGGCTATAACTTTACTACATTAGATCAAAAAGATGTAATGTAAATTATATTAGCTATAATTTTATTACATCTAAAGACACACTTGTGATATTTTTATATCTAAAGATATCATAAGGGGTTATGGAAATCATAAAGAATGTTATGAAGACAATAAACTGGAAAACCTACATAAAAAAAGAAATTTCTGATAAAATGATAACCTTCCAATGTTTTAGATTTCAACCTGGGTAGGTCACAGCAACTGGATATTACGTCAAACATTATTCTTCATGTTTTCATAAAGGTACTTTTTAAAAAAAGGAGATTAACATTTAAATCAGTGGACTTTGAGCAAATCAAATTACCCTCCATAATGTGGGTAGGCCTCATCTAATCAGCTGAAGATTTTAATGGAAAAAAAAAAGACTAAACTCCACAATAGAAGGAGGAATTGTACCTGCAGACTGCCTGCAGATTTAACATGCAACATCAGCTCTTTCCAGAGCTGTCTCTGTCTCTTTCTGCTGTCTCTGTCTCTCTGTCTGTCTCCTTCTCCCTCTCTCTCTTCATCTTTCTCCTTACACATAACTATTGGCTCTGTTTCTTGAGAGAACCTTGAGTAACACACTGTGAAACTAATTCTAAAATTAATTTTGGAGAAAAAGGTCCACAATAATTGAAGACACTAGGAAAGAAGAAAGGGGACACAGACAGTAGACCGTATCCTTTTAGAATCTGAAACTTAAAACGCTTTGAAGACACATTAACTAAAGCAGTGGTGTTTGGACGTTAAAAAAGAAGGCCAATGAAAATGAAGAGAGAGAACACAGTAGATTTATATATGTGAGGACACAGATTATGTTGATGTGGCATTATAAATTACTGAGGAAATGATGGGGCTATATAGTCAATGATATTGGGAATATTTCCCACTGTATAGAGAAAAATAAAATCAGTATTCTCCACCATGCCATGCAAAAAAAATGGTGAAAGATAAAAATAGAGCTCTGTGTCCATCTTTTCATCTATAAAACGAAGATAATAGCATCAGCTAACCCACAGTGCCACAGGGAGAATTAAATAATATACACAAAGCAGCCAGAACATTGCCTGGCACCCCATGAGAGCCCACTGTTCTCCCTAGATACTCTTATGCAAGCTACTCATTGGTATTATCACTGTGGTCACAGTTTTATACCATTGGAGGAAAAGATATATAAATACATATATTGCATCCATACTATTTTTTTATTCTTCCAGTTAAAAAATTAGAAAGAGAGGAGAGAGCCAGCGTTTCTTCCCATATGCTGCAGTTTGGATCCTGATGTTCCACCAAACACTCATATGTTAAAGACCAAGTCCTCAGCCATGACACTAAGGGAAGGTGATAGAAACATTAAAAGATCACCCTCTCTTCACTGGGGTTATTTGTATACATGTATTTTTTTTATATATGTTCAATGGAGGAAGATTCTAGTCATTACCAAAACAGTTAATGACAGGCAACAAAAACACAAAAAGCCACAAGAGAAGCCTGCTCAGTAGTGAGCCCCTTAGGCTGGTTCCATTTGGGGAAAAAAAATACATTTGCACATTTTAACGCTAGTTAAACAATCATTCCACCAAAATACTGTGAGAGACTTACAGTAGGGCCAGAATCAAGACTATATCCTGGAGCAAAGGGACACAATAGATACTAATATCTGGGAACAAACACAACCTACTGACAGTTTTTAAAAACTTCACTGC